AACCATGCAGGTCTCCTGGCACCCTTCCTGTTGCTAAAGGAGTTGCTAAACTAACAGCTAGACAGGACCTGATTTGTTTTACAATGTATCGCTGTTGCTCACTGAATATTTTTTGTGTGCATCACTGGATGGTAAAAATACACTGCCAACAAGGCAGAAACAATAAGGCTACTTGTTGCTGGCTACCACCAGAAAGGGCTGTGGAAAGGAAGTCAGTGCTGTTAGCAGTCGCAGTACTGGAGCAGTTCGTGTTCTTGTTTCAGTATGGGTTGGGATTTTTGTTTGTTTGTTTTTGAAAAAGAAAAAAAAAAAAAGTGTAAAGAGGCACCTGGTCTTTCTAACAGATGACCAAAAGCCTCTTCCTGCTCCTAGCCTTTTCTTTTTCTAGATTGCAGCATCCTTCTACACTAAGTTGCAATTCTTTGTTCTTCCAAATTCTGCCCTACTAAAAATGTAACAGAAGATAAAGTCTCATATCCGTAAACTGGCTTAGACCAGTAGATCAACTGCTGGCACCGATTTGATTTTTCTCCTAGCAGCACTCTAAAGCACATGTACAGCAAAACCAAATTTGAACCAAAAGCAGCATTCTGAAGTTTGGCACTGGTAGAAACTAAGCAAAGATAAATTCCTGTATCGATCTTTAGGTGCTTATCAAGTCATATAAGGGATAAAGACAGCTGTGATCTTCACATTCATTTTACCGAACAGAGGCAGAAAACATACTGGAGCTCTACCTGTGTAATGAAGAAAACATCAGATACTTACATCAATGAGCTGAGATGCAGACAACACTGGCATGTCATTGAGGTTCAACTGTTTCTCTGCCAGTAATTGTTCAGGAAGTGTCTCCTGATGTAACAGAAAGCGTTCCTGTTCTGATATTTCTTGTGGTAATTTAAGGAAATTAATGTTTTATATTATTAAAATGTAATATAAATTATATGGAACAATAATAACTTAAGTCACAATATTATTCAGGTCTACAAGTGTTTCTTATGAAGCATTCTATTTGGATGCTCATATATGTTCCTGAGGCACAGAAATAGTTCCACGTCACTGTTGTCGCCCTGGTGAACTAGTTCTTACTTTCCACTCAGGTTCCCCGTGTAATGCAGACTGAAAACTCTGATTTTTTCTCAAAACCACAAAATTAATACAAAGGATTGGAGGGAAGTTGCTGCACTATGCAGGAAAGTAAATTGGTTGCAATTTTTAGGAGCTACCTTTTGGCTGAAGACTTGTGCCATGGACCTGCTCCATCTCATGAATTATTTCATTTTTGATTGTTTTATTTTCTAGTATAATCTTTCCAGGGTTATAAACTTCTTAGGTGGAAACAATCAAAATAGACTAATTTCAGTCAATTTAGTATGTGAATCTTGCCCCCCAGTTCCACTGCACAGTAGAAAGGAGTATTTTATCTGTTTAAATGGATAAGCAGAATGCAGCAGAAAATTATTCTTCATCAATAGAAAACTAATACACAAAGAGCATAAGTTTTAAAATCTATGTCATGTGTCATACAGAAACGTGCAGCAGAGTAAGACCAGACCAAGTTTTGATAGTCCATTACTCTACTGAAATAAAGCTTTGATTTCCTATTTTTTCTACGGTTTTCCTTTTTGAAGATGAGATTCTTCATATCAGCATAGGTTTTTCTCACAGCAGTGAGAAAAACAAATTTCAACTTTAATTTCATGCAATGCTTTATAATTTAAAGGACAGATGATATATTATTATTACAAGCTAAAAATATTTTGTGAAGCCTACTTAGTTATCATAATTATCCCCAGCATTTTTCAAGAGGATTTATTTTAAGAATTGTACAAAACGTACATGGACAAATACACAGATAAGTAGAAGTAAACCTGAGTAGTAACCTTGAGTAATATTTCAACGCTTCCCCCTGGTGGCCAGTATTAGCTTACTATTAGTGTAGAATTGCTTTTTCACAGACTCACAGCAACACGTGCTTCACAAAAAGTATCATGAAAAGGGTCTTTTCCAAAGTGACAGGAGCAGCAGAGCAGTGGAACTGCTGCATTTGGTAATGAAGCAGAATAGGTATTCCTACTTTTCCCATTAACATCCTTTCATTTAGAGCATAATGAAACACTGTCACTTTACCCTTTCTAGATACAGAGAGAGTAAGATGCTGGGAAAGCACTTCCTGATCACAAATGTATATATTTGCAGGTACATTATTAAAATGCAACATAGTTACAGGATTTCCTTGTACAGCCTAAGAGTCTCAGGACTTGAAAACAATTAAAAATTGAGAGCTATTCAGTAAGCACGCTTTAAGAAATGAAATCATTTTTACCTTGCATCTGAAATAAAAATGCAGCTTCATCTACTTCAGAACTGTCTAATAACTCATAAAAAAGACCACCAATATTTTGTGTGTTATTAAAAAAAGTGAAAAGGTACAAATTTCCCTTGCTCATAGTCCTAACTCACAGGTGAAGTTGAATACTGAGGTTACTGCCTCGTGCTGTGTTCCTTATCCTTCCTGCAATGAGCAAAATCCTCAGCCCGTATATCCCTACCACATTTAGAGCCCTCATAAAATAAATAATAGCCTAATAAATTAATCATATGAAAAATTAACATGATTCTAATTCAATAAATTCATTAGTCTATTTGTCGCTTTGCTCTGGTTTTATTTCTTACCTTCTATTTTCTCTTGCAGTATATCTTCTGAAAAATCAGATGCCAGTGCAGCTAATTTGCTCAAGCCAAGGAGTGTTTTCTTCTTTGCAAAATATCGAGTCTCCATGTTTGCTAAAGTCTGCAAGGTTCTGTGAGCCTGAAATTAACAAAGATGTCAGAAATCAGCTTTATAATTTAACATCAGAAGGTTAACAGATAAGGATTTAATCTGAACTGCAGTCTAACAGCTATTTATTGCTTGTAATACTATAACCCTTATTTTTAAAAGTTGTACAACTTGCAGATTAAAACTCCACATTACACTCTTCAGGAAGAGATATAGATCTCTACTCCAATTATATACAAAAAACATTTTAATTACTAATCAAGAAAAACTATCTTTTGATCAAAGGATAAATTGCAACCTCACATATTACACCTCTGGGATCTTATTCAAGGCTTTGCCATAAAAGCCCAGCAAATGTGCTTTGACAGGACAACCTCACATACAGATAGATTTACTTGTTAATTCAGGAATTTGAAAAACAGAATCCTACATATAACCGCCGCAGTAACCGAGCACATAAGTAAAAAAAATTTTTTCTGTTCCTTTGTCTGATAGACATTTCTGAGCACCTACTCAGAAGTAAACTAGGCTGAATTACTTGTATATTTTAGAATCCTTGTCCCCTCCTCATAGTGCTTTGCTATAAAAGACAAAACCTCAGTCAACACCTATGCAATATTACAAGACTTTCAGGGTGGGTTTGGGGGTTTAGTTGTTGTTTGGGTTTTTTCTGTTGTTTTTTGTGTTTTGTGTGGTATGAAGTATTATCAACCTATAATTTGCAGTAGGATAAACGTTTCCATGCTCAATTAATGCGCACATGGATTGGAAGAAGCCATTTTCCCTTACAATTAGTTTATTTGCTAGAGTGAAATCCATTCATAAATCTAGCAGAAGGAAGGAAAGACTGACCAAGAGGATGTAGGGAAAAAACTGGGCAGCCTACAAGGCAACAAAGAATCCAGTTTAAAAACAACATCACATTAACCTATCCACATGCATATTAGCTATTAAAAGAAATATTGCTTTTGTACTATGAATATAAGTGATTAACCAATATATTTTTTACTTTTGTGATACCTCCAAATTACTTTGCTTTAAACAGTTTTGAAATAAAAATTTCAGTTTTTCCTTTGCTGGATAATCTGATAATTCTATTAATATTCACTGTAAACTCCCAGTTCCACTAAAGTGGTGATCACGTAGCCACGTAAAACTCCTTTGATACAAAATATTAGTCACCAGCAAGGGATGAAAAGCAGCCCTAATTTCCATTACATGATGCAGTGGCTTATACGATACACCAGATGGTGCCTGGAGGGAGGCTTTTGGTACTCTGTTAATACTCCATGTCATCTCTCAGCTAAGACACTTAGATAAGCTGAGTTTTTTTGATGATGAAGAGTCAGAACAAGATAGTTTGCCGACCTGAACATGGACTTCAGTATTTCACATATATTTCAGTTTGGTTGTATTAAAAACCCTACCTTTTGCAAATCCTGACTATTGATTTCATGTAACCAGCTCAGATGCTCATGAGCTTGCAAGAAACTGGCCAGCTGTCCGTGCTGAGCAATAGGCTGAGATAGCAGCTTCCCTCGCTTTCCCTTTTCTAAATACCAGCGAAACAGGAAATCTGAAAAATTCTTAAGATAACAGAAATACAAGTAGATTTTTTAAGTTACATTTAGATATCTTGTTTGTCTTTTAAGGCAAAATATCTCATAAAATACAATTGGTAAGAACCTGCTTAACAAAACAAGACACACACACATGCACAAAAAGTAACATATGGTTAATAAAAATTCTTCAGAGTCCTGATAAAAATAGCATGTAGAGAATTCACAGCTACAGTAGAAGAAACACTGATACACACAGCAGGGTTTATCCTTCAAATGCAAGTGAAGGAAGTGCCAAATGAAAATTCTTCATTTTAACCCACAAGAACAGAAACAGGTATCACCCACAATTCTAATCTTATTACCTATTCCTTTCCCTCCCTCAGAACTCTGTGCTTACTACTTCCTTTCATATCTAAGTTCGCTTCTACTGTCACTGTTTTTGAAACATTCCCTCCTATCTCCAACTGAACTCACAACCTTACTTCTCTCAGTCACTGCTAAAAAATAATGTATTTTTTAAAAGAAACACCTATTTTATCTTCAAAAACTTCAACATGACATAACTAATCAGGGCTTATGTTGAGATTTAATTTAGTCTTTTTAGAGTAATTTTAGAATAATGCTAAATTTTAATTGCATTAGCAATTAAAAAAAAAAAAATCAAGCCTGAAGAGGCCACCAGGCTGACATTCTATGTACTACACTTGATCTATTCAGCTCTACATTTGCTACAGTAACTTCTCTTCAAAGAGTGTTAGTTTTTTTCTTTAAAAAAAAATCCAAAGAGAACAGACAGAGAATTAATCCGCTTCTTTGTCAGTATGTGTGAGTATTTAACCCTCTCTATTAAAAACATTTTGTATAATTTTTCTGTTACTAATACTTTTGTTTGTTCTTATTAAACAACCTTTCTGTACTTTCTTTGTTAGGAAGCCTGTAGACTGCAGGATTTCTCTTTATATAGGTGTAGTGGAACATTAAACAAATTAATCTCACCAACTCTCAAATTAGGAAACTTTTGTCCCAGTCTCTCACCCTTCAAGTAGTCTCTATTGCCTTTTCCTTAAGCTTTCCAGTTTTTCAGCACACTTAAGAGGTTTTTACCCCAGATTTTTAAAGACATTGAAAAATTGTCCAAGTACCTGTCAGGACAATAAAAAAAGAGACCCCAGCAACATCCTTATCTTCCTACTCTTTTTAACTACTTTTCTATTTATACATTTAACAATCTCATTTTCTCTTCTGGAAATTATCCTTACATTTATATTACATTAGTTTAATAAAACAACAGTACACTGAATACAGCACCTCAGTGAGGAAGCCACAAAATGCAGAAAGATGTTAAGAGTGAGACAATGTGTTTGAGGCACAAAAAAGGTCCTGTGAAAACCCACTGCCCATACAACTAGCACCCGTATTTCTGCTGACTTGTTTTGCAGTCTCAGTGTAAAACATGCCATTGAGTTCTGCACAGTGAACCCTGACTCCAGTTTTCCACATTGCCCCTGTACGTATATGTAAATACCAATTAATAAAAAAAACCAGACACCCCCTCCAAACCCCCCAATCATAACTTTTGTATCGTTTCTGGTGCAAACATATTTATAAAACACTATCTAAAGGAACTACAAAAAAGAGTTACCTGATCTGCAAACTGGCTCATGTAACGTTGTAATCTGGGCTGGTTGTCTGTCTGCTCGCACATTTGCACCAGGATATCAAAGTCACAGTACTTCTCTGCTAAAGCAGCTGCCATCTGATACTGTCCCAGGGAAACTAAGTAATCAAAAAGAAAAAGAAGCTGTATCAAACAAGCTCATCTTTGGCTGTTGGATGACTGAGAGCAGAGACCAGAAAATGAGAACAAGTTTCAAGTGTTTACATCACAGAGATACTTACACTTTCCCAAAGAAACATTCACCTTACTGCATCCACACCCTGTGCACATGCAAGCTCACAAGCCTACCACCTCTGTCCCCCAGTACAAGAGAGAAGAAATTTAGAATACTAAATCGCCAGTATACATCCTACTTTCTCTGAAAATTAGCAGCATCTGCTGTTTGTGCTTTTAGGAAGGGATGGGGTTGATCACCACATGACTTAATATCTGCATTAATATCCACTTAATTACACCAAGTGATGAAACAGCAGGCAAAGGCTTTTGATAACAAATAGAACAAGTGAAGATAACATGTTTTGAATACAAGTTCTATTATTTCAAATCTTTCATCTTGGTTCAATCAAATACATAAGAGTGAGCAGAACATGCAATTTTGTTTGTAAGGAAATACTAACTTTAAATTGAACATAACAACATGAAATGTATTTACAAGCTAACAGAGCCCATGAACGTCACTAAAACTGACAATGATAGTTTTCTTAAGGTTTAAGAATGTTAAAAGGCAGTGATTCTTAGACTGTTCTATTTATATAATTCACTTTTAGTCTAAAAATTTAAACTCTATAAGCTTACTAAAATTTATTTGCTCAGACTTATTTCCGTCACATAAATTTACATCAACTAGCAACAATATAAACATTTAGAAATCCATTTAAAGGCTATTTTCAGCCAGCTGTCACAAAATAAAATTCCTGCCAGGAAAATATAACAAGTTATCAAAAGAAAAAAATTCAAGAAGCAACATGTCTTAAAGGTATGGGCATGTCTTGGATGCAATTCTGTAATCTGTTTGTATTTTGTAAATATCCCATTAAATCACAAAACCAGCCATTTATACTCTGAAGACAAACATGCAGAACAAATAGAATTCATACAGAGATGCCATTTACTCCATCAGATTTGCATAATTTCCTCATCAAATGGAACATTTAATTATTGCATTAAGAAAAAGAGACATTACTTACGGAGGGGTAACAAGAGTTCTGACCTCTTCTGCACATATTCCATTTCTACATTGCTGTATCTCTCTTGATCAGCAGGGCGGTCCACAGATTTCAGCTGAGAAACATAGCCATCTAGGAAACAATCCAGTAGTGCCACCAACTGTTCAGCCACAATGCTACGGAGGTTACTGTCCGCCTGGGGATACACCATCTTCAGAATGATTCCATGCTGACGTATTATTGCTGTACGAAGGCCACTAGATGCTTGGGAAAACACCACAGTAATCATTAAAACAATACTTCTATCATCACAAGAATCTATGCTGAAGTATAGCAAAAACATTACTATGTATAACTAAAATAGAAAGAAAAAAGCTAACAAACATTTAAATTTTAAAAATCAAAGCAATACTACTAAAAAGCTCAGAACACACACTTCCATCTACCTTTACACATTAAATTTGGCCACAATGTAGTAAACAAAAGACAACAGAAACAAAACCACCCCCTGAACTACACAGATCTACACTGTCAACTATCAACAGCAGCTATTTTTCAGATTAAAAGAATCACTTACACGATCTGTAAGCAAAGCAGAGAATACACACAAGGAAAAGGCAGCTCCTATTAAACTGATTTAAATACTTGGATGCAGTCATCAAGACATAAACACAACAAAACATCTTGCATGGGTCCTGCTTTTCAAAAGATTTTTATCTTTGGAGCACTAACCAAGTATGTTCTATATGCATAGAGACCACAAGGAAGCCAAAGCATCAACTGGAAAGTGCTTGCTTCTGTAAACATTTGTTCTGATACTTTTTAATGTTATTAAACCAGCAAAACAAAACACTTAAGGAAGTGAAGAATCATCAGTCCTTTTAAAAACAGTTATAGATCACATTTTATGATTCATTTTAACACTATGTATCCCACAGGTTTGCCAACTAGAATCAGTGCATACTAAAAAAAAATTAGCTTTATCTCCCACACTTCGGTTTTGTAGTCAAATTTGCAGTGCAAGTTTTAAAGAATTATCATCAATGCTGAACAAAACAACTGTTTGTTGATTCACTCCATTTCATTCACCAAACAAAACCTTTAGCTTTTCCCATCCTTACTGACAACCTCGTCGCTTTTAACAGGAAATTCAACATTCAGTTTGAAATTCTTGTGTTCTGAAACTCATGAAAAGTACTTTTGTTTAGCGTAAGATAATTAATAAACTAGTAATAATAATTTCTCACCTGTCCATGGAATATATTCAGGTTCTCTTTCTGGAAGCTCTCCTGCTTTATATAAAGAGGCTCTAGATTGACGATACTGACAGGCAGCCTGTAGCATGTCCTGTTTAAAAGCAAGGACACAAATACCTTAAAGTCTACCTGCATACACACAGGCCGTAAAAGACGTTGTCTTTTATAATTACGAAATATTCATATCCCCGTTCTTTCTACACCACTTTCTCAGCTGTACAGAAGAGCACATACAGACTGAGCAAGAAGCCTCAGTGCTCAAGCATAAGCTCTTCACGCTTTGCTATGTACTCCTGCTTTCACAACTTCCAAAAACGGTGCAACTTCTCAAATTCGCTTTAGCAGTGTCTCAGGAAGAAAAGGAATGTCCCTAATTCTGCACGAGACCATCTTTTCCTTCCTAATATATTTGGACATGTGAAAATTGCATTCACTTTTGTTCTCATGTCAGCAACTCAGATGTACTGCACTCAAACTTATTGACTGCTCTTCAATATTTACCTTCCTCTCCCACAGACATTTAGTTCTGTACCTTAATTATGTTGTTCACATTCACAACTATCTGTGCCCACTCAATTGATTCAATGGGCAAATCTTTCAGGATTTGTTCCTCTTCTTCTAGTAAGCATTCAAAGACGGAATCTATCTGGGACACCTTAAAGATAGAAAGAAAAAATGCACTGAGCAGAAACATACCCATTACCAGCCATACCTGAAAGCCATGTTATGAGTTGCACAGAAAAATAAATATTAGTAGAAACCACATCAATAGCCAAAAATATTAAAAGGTACCAACTACTCAAGTGAATAATGAAGTCACCACCTTATATTACATACAACACTTCGAATACAAGAATTGCCTTATTTCTGGACTTAAAACTGGAAGAAAAAAAAAATCCTCTTTTTTGAAGGCAATTCCATAAGCTCTCATTAAGCATATTCCTCCCTATTCTTCTGAAACATTTGGCAGTAGAATCTTTGTTAGATAAAGCATACCAGATAACATATCTGCTTTACAATAGCAGACTATTATTTCTACTTTCTTTTATATTTGTTTTTGTCCATTAGCAACTACTGTCGCCTACAGTAAAAACCTCCTAAGAATAAATGTTTTGTGTACAGTTCTTTTCAAGAAGGAAGAAAGAAATAAAAACTGGGTACTTGACTGGAATGTGGCATAAACTGAGAACTAGCTTAGATTCATTAATGTTAGAAATGACAAAAAATTATGACACTGAATTCATACAATTCCATCCAGAACAGCTCATCAAAGCAGCTGTCCCATCTGGAAAGCTTTGTACTCTCCAGTTCACGCCTTAAAAATGATAATTTAGCATACATTGTCTGATGTGCCAGAGAATTTCACTTGTCTTTTTCACTGCTCGTCCATGTAGGTTAGTTGGAAATCACAACAACTTTACTTCTGCTACATGAAATTTGTCAGAATTCATTTTTCAGCTGCACACCATCCCTATGTAAAGGGAAACTGTGTAAAGTTAAATCAATTTTTAAAGGGAAAAGTTTCAAAGTATACATTAAAGCATTGCAATTTTTACTACATGCAATACTACACAGTGATTCAGAAATAAAAGGTTTCTTACCTCGCGAAAGAACACATCTGCAGCAGTAAGACTTGGTGGAATGTCACACTCCCTTTTGTTTAATGCCATCAGTATAGCAGCATTCACTAGATCAGGCAGCCTGGAGTGGTGATTCTTGAGAATGATAGCTGCTGCTAGTTTTTCTGCGTGCTCACAGAGCAACAATCGAGTTGCCATCGGCATCCCTCGTACTGGGAAAACACCCAGACGTTCAAAGACACCAACCTTTTATGAAAAAAATGAAACGCCACATGCACTTTAAACAGTGTTCTAGAGAATTACTTTAAGACAAAATAATACTCTACTGTGTGTGCTGATACCAAAAGGACAGTAGAATGTTACCTGATGAAGAAATTCGATGAAGAAGGTGTGTGCTTTTGTCTTATCCTCTAGCTGATGGAGAAGAATGAGAGATGTGTTGCTGAAACCAGCCGCTTCTAAAAAGAGAAATATCTTAGACCAGAGCACCTGATATCTTCATTCTTTGATAACTGTTTTTTTTAATGCCTCTGAGGCAAACATACTTCTATAAATTTCTATAGTATTACCGCACTGGTACTTTTTAAAAATACATGCACACACATTTATACATGGCTTACCCTGCTATTTTTAATGTGGTTTTTAAACTCTATCATAGCCAAAGTAAAACCTTTAGAAGAAATCAAGTATCTTTAGATCAGTACAACCATTCTGAAGCACTCAATTCATTATGCTGCTAAAACAGCAGCTCACTACCTTATTCAAGTTTTAGTAAGATTCAGATTCAAATTTTTATCTTGTGGACTAGCTATTGCTAAATTTACTATGTCCTAGACCACAGCTGCTACAAAATAAAGTGTTAACAGGCACTCGGACTTAATTGATTCTGCACTGCCTGCACAATTCCACTGCGCAACTAAGGAGTTGCCCAGCACTGCTCTACTTTTCTTCTTCCTCAAATGAGCTTGCACATGAAAAGCCACTTAACATTTCCATCCAGACAATCAGGTCCTTAAATAAGTCAGTAAGAATGATGGAAGCTTCCTCATGAGCATCCTCACAAGTATCTCACCTCAGTAGAGTTCTCCAGAGCCCAAGTTATTTTCCTATTTCAGAATTTTTGTATATTCTAAGTGTGCTTTGAACCAAAAGACTACCAAGATACAAAAACTCAGAACAACTATCACTATGAGCAAAATTAGCAAGACTATTTCCAAGAAGCTACCAATTTTCACTTCTTGCTTTAGCCAGGAATAAATGCAGACAAGCTGCTGAATTAAAAATAAAGTTGATTCAGAAAATACTAAGGATGCAATGCCTGACAATTTCTATCTGTCTGGCACACAGAAACAACAGCAGGAAGCATCACCCATCTGAAAGTATTTACTACACGAACTTTCAAAACAAGTTTCTGCTCAGTGACTGGCAACTGCTGCCTAAAGGCCCTGCGGACAGTTTCAAATTTCAACTGTTCATAAGAGACAGGGAAGTGTGAACAAAGAAGTTAATTCCTTAAAATGTGTCTGCTTTAATCCTTTATGTACAAATACTCCAAAATAAATTTATCTAGTTCTGTTTTAGGCAGACATAAATACTGATGCCCCAGAGAGATATGAGCTAACTCTACTCAGGATCCAAGCCTACCAGAAACTGTGCAGCCATGCTGACAAAGGGCTAAGCATGAGCAAATAAACTCTGCCTCTCAACATATCTATTTGTGGGAAATAATTTAGCTCTATTCAAGGAATCATGGAAACACTAAAGTGAAACCACCTGTTCCTTGCATGAAATACCCTTCTCAGAAATGTTTTCTTTGCTGTTTGTGTATACTATATGTTGCCAAGAACTAACTACAGTAGACTGCAAGTTTATCTTGCATCTTTTAGCCTTTCTAGAAATGTATCTAGTGGTGGCATAGAGTAAGGGATACCTATGCTTTTTTTGCAAAGCTTAAATTGTCATTTTATCTAGAGTACTATAAACAGTTTTTTTCACAAAAAAAACCCCACCAACCAACACAAAAAATCCCAACAAAAATCCCCCACACCATTATGTTTACCTTCAGGTACAGATTCAGCCCATCTTGGATCAGAGGCAGGGTAATCATCTATTAAGTCCACACTGATCTGAGTCACTGCCCTATCCAGTTCAGCGTCAGAATCCAGATCTGTATTACTTGGAAAGAGCTCAGCTACCATGCTTTGTGCATTGACTAGATCTTTCCTGAAATAAAAGCAATAGATAGGATTATAGAAACAAGAACCACTCCATTAGCAGAATTTTCTGATATACTTTTTGTAAAGTGCTTTAGATTGTAAACATCAAGCATTGTTTGGGCTATCTTTAAACTAATTATAGATAAAAGGTATTCTGATTCTATGGATAAAAGGTATTCCAATTCCTTTAAAGCAAGTAGGCTGCACAGTCTGTAGAACAAAACAGCACAAGCCAGGAAGTGTTTCAAGTCACTTTTTATTTTATAATCCCTATATTATTATTTAAGAGAAAAAGATACATCATACAGAGCTAAGGCTGGGTGTCTCTGATAGCTCAGTCACCAAATTTTTATTGCTTGCTTTAAAATCCTCTCAAAAGTACATGTAGTCCCTCCCACAAATGGCAATAAAGTAAAAGCTCTCAGGAAAATGCTTCAGCAAATACAATGCATTATTCTTATTTCCTATAGTTTCAGAGAATCCTATTCTACTCAGGTCAGTAAGTAAAAGTGTAAGAGGAACCATCCAAATCCTTAAACCTCCAAGGTACGAAGTTGTACTGAAGAACCCTACGTAAGAAGTATGCAATATTCACAGAAAGCACAGATTTGATTTTGTGACTAAAAATTATAGTATTCAGCCTGAGAAGGGATTCTGTGATTCCAATATCTAATTCTGGAAATATTTATATTTTTTCATGAGACTTTCAGTTTGAATGGTTATATGACCAAGATATCTTGACATAAAAAACAGCAGTAAACAAAAATTTGCTAAAGCAAATTATACTTTTAAAAACTGGAATATATTGAATCTTCTAGTAAACAACCTTCCATTATTTGCTCTCCATCAACTCCTTGGCCATCTGGACAGGCCATTGCTACATCTCCATTCATTTTACCACACTATTTTTCTGGAAGAACTCTGAATCAATACTATACACATCAAATTATTATTTTCTTCTGGTTTCCTAAATATAACCCAAATTCTAATCAAAATAACATTAAACTTTCATACCGTTTCACATTGTTTTCCTTACTACCTCCTACTTCTACGTGTAGAATTTCTTCCTAAATTCTGGGCATGTTTACAGATCTTGTCTTGATAACCTTTATTATATGTGCCTAATCCCCTTCAAAACATTCCACCTCAGATGCAGCTCTATGTCAAAAGCACACCTACTTCCTGTTATCTTTAAACTGTTCTTTACAAGTTTTAAGAGTCTTTAAGGACATGAGTCCTAAGAAGGTTTGTGGCTTGGTTTGTTGTTTTTGTTTTTTTTTCTTCAATAAATATATATTGAAAACAATCTCCTCTAAATATAATTAATTTAAGTCTACAGCTCTGTTTATCTTCTTATCTCTCCTCTTCCTCCTTTGTTTACATCACTCAACATAAAACGTTTCACAGGCATTGCATGCCTCCCAACAGTTAGGCTGCTTTAATCAGGATCATCTGATGAACAGTGTATTTCCTTCCACTCCCCCCGTCTCACTGAACCTAAAAAAAGACACCATCTTGACACAGAATCTGCTGTGCTAGTTATTCTTCACAGACACACAAACGGTAATTAAACATATTTGAAAGTATTACTGAAAATAGCTATGCAAATAAAAATGAGGAAGAAAAGGAAAGAATCTTTTTAACAATAAAACATCACCTACTAAATAAAGTCATCAAAATAACAAAGTTTAAAGTTGTCTCCCTGGCACTAACATAACATCACAGAACTTAAGCACAGTAAGCAAAAAGTTATTGAGATTATAGAAGTCTGCTCCTTTTTAGCACATCACTTCTTCACTAGCTCAAATGCATCTAACACTTTCCCAATGAAGATGTGCATGTGTCATTACAATAGCTATAATTAAAACAGCACAAGAGTATCTTTACCAAGACAATCTCTTACTCAAACATCGGAGTGCCTTCAAGAATAGCAAACAAAGCCTCAAAAATCAAGTGCAATTTCTACCTGCAGTACTGTAGAAAAGCAGCTTTCAGTAATTTAGTCTTATCTTCTTGAGCTATAATTTCTAGCCTACTGGCAATGTCAAACGCAGGACTCTGAAAATGCAAAGTAAAAACGTCAGCTAAAAGACAAATATCAACTTTCATCATGAAATGAAAACAATTTTTCTAAGTAGTAACAACAAAGATTTAAAATAAAAATGCCACCTGGAAGCAGTTGTGTTTATTACACCAAACACAAGCCCATAAGATACATTACAATCAAAGTTACATAGTGGTTTGACCTCAAGCATTTTAATAAAATTCACACAAACTGCAAGGGAACTTACGCCAACTTATTTCACCAGTCAAACGTTTTACGGTAATTTTAAATATTTTAATATTCAAAGCCAACATTCTGGACAGAATTTAAAAGGTATTCATTGAGTATCATCACCTCCAAACAAACCATTACCTCACTTCTTGGTCCAGCAACAAAAGAGGACAGGGAATCTTCAAGGTCTTCAGGAAGCACAGAAGTGTTTTCCCTGGACAAGATGGTGATAAGTCCACTTTTTTTGGTAAAGAAGATAGGGAGGCCAGTACAGGAACCTGCTCCTAAAATGCTATCACCTAAGATGAGGGGAGACGAAAAAAAAAAAAAAAAAAGAAAAAAAAAAAAGGCACATAAATACCACTGTAAGAACAGAATATAACAGTTTCATAGACAATCAAATTTTGTCATGAACCAACCAACAGTAATTGACAACTGCACCTGACTTACAGAAATTGTTGATATTATTTGCTACTCAACATGCAGATTTTCAGATACTGCAAGTTAAAAAAAAAAAATCAAGATTCAGGTTGTTCAAATTCTACCTAAGGACTGATGTGCATATCCTACTTCAAAACACCTCTGAAGGTCAAGGATGAAGTACTTCGAGCCATCTGATACAGGCACCTAGTATGAATTTTACGCTGAGCCTTGACACAAAGTTAACTTTAAGAAAAAAAATAAAAACCAAAAACCACAGTGAATGTTGGACAAAAAGAAGCCAAAAAAACTCACAAACAAAAACCCCACCCTTTCATATACCAAGAGTGGAGATCTAGTTAATTTTTATCCGAAACACTGTAGAAAAACAATAACAATACTGGAAGTCATGTCAGTAATTTCTCCATCCACTCATAAGAAACTCCCAACTTGAAAGACTTAAAAAAGAGGGCATAAATATGACTCTGCTTTTTGAAAAATCCACTACTGTAAAAATGTTCAATTAGAAAGTATCAACGAAATGCAACCTTTTTTCCCCTGCATGTTACCTTGAATGCCAAATATTATTTTCTCTTGTGGTAAAGAAATTCTTCCAGTTCCAGTGGAACAAGCAAACACTTCATCTTCCTTGTAGAGGTAAGCAGCATGGCTAAAGTAATCCGGGACTACCAGACAGCACAACACTTCCTCTTCTGACTGAAAGTGTTACACATGAACAATATCACCATATATAATCAAAATAAACATCTAACTTTTTAAAGGCTGATCTGAGTTGCCTGAATTTGTTTTAATTTTTAACAAGAAGATATGGATATAACTTACAATGTAAAAAAGCAAACAAAACCACTTTTAATTTGCCCCAAGACTGGTTTTTTCTTCCCCCCCTTATATATTAAATTCTTGCTAATTTCACATGGAAAGACAAGTAAACAGACCAATTCTTCTACAGTTTTCACACTCTCCTTCCATCTTAAGATTCAATTTCAAGATGCCACTACAGGCAGGGGAGAGAAGGCAAAGAGCAGAAGTTTACCAGAGAAAGTTAATGCCCAAGTTTATGCTTCCAGAAGCAACAGTACAAATGAGCTACTACAAGGACAACCAATGTGTTCTCCCCTCCCAGCAAGACAGCTGTCTTGCAAGGACCAAAATACAGTTCTCTTAATTCCTTGTCCTGCTATAACAGTCTGAGTCTGAGATCTGTTCTAAATGGACTGCATGAGTATATAATAAAATTACTCTGTAGAAAACTTTCACAGACAGGACAAAAATTAAAATAAATCAGTAATAATCAGATGTTTAGACTTCTATTTTTGAGGCTGTTTATCTTACACTTTAAAATGTAAAGCATAAACTTTACATACAGTTACTACTAAACATTAAAAGATGCTAGTACACATTTTCATCAGAATACTACAAATACATACTTCCAAGAACAACCTTAAGACACAGAACTTGATTTCTCTTTAGACAAAAATCTGATAGCTGACTTACGTACAGGAATATTCTGAAACACTGTGCTTTAACTCAGTTTCTGAGCCTTCATTTGCATACCTGAAAAGATGGATTATACTGTGTGACCTCCACAACAACGTCATCAGACATCTGGTAGCCTTTATCTTCTACTGTTACCAGAGTGTAATACACAAGACACGGACTATCTCCAGGATGCCATGCTGCAGCAAGTATCACCAGACCATCACTATTCAACAACAGATATCACACCATTGAGAGATTATTATTATTATCTATTTTACTTGCTCAAACTCTACCACTCAGAAAAACAGATATTTAAGTACAATCACAAATATATATTTTCCAATATTATATTTTTTTTAGAAAGAAGGACTATACTATTCGTTCTTTCACGCTGTTTTATTAACAGCATTCATATTGCAGTACAAAACTGAATGAAGACAACTGTGATTTTGTATACTTAAATACAAGAGATACTGAATTCTCTGTATTTGCTAGAACACGTTACGATTGCTTACTTGCTGTCTTCGTAATATCAAGACAAAACAAATAACCAGACTTGACAAAATGACACTAAAAAAAGGGAAAGGAATTATTCTTAGGTAACTTGTAATGCTAAAGAGATCATGATAGCATGAAGTATAGGATAATCTAGTTATCTAATATGATGTGCTTGTTTTATCAACAGTTGCACTCAAGTAAAATTAAAATGCAATTACTTACAGAAAGTTTTATCAAGAAAACACATTTATCTCAGTAATGTAAGTCTTACCAGATGCCACTGTACTTCCTTACCAATTCCGTTGCAAATCCATGTATTGTATATTTACTCCTCCTTTAATATCTTCATAGTTACTTTCAGAACCCTAAAAACCAATACATCTGACTTAAAACGATATATAAATAGGCTATTAAACAAATACACAAACCCTTCCCAGGTGAGCTGGCCCTTACCCAAATTGCATCTGTAATATGTTCTTTCAGGATCCTGTTGATATCCCAGCTGAGAATATAACGTTCTGATGAATCATCAATCTCCCATTTGTTTAGATTTGAACTTGTTAGCATGAAAAAGCTTGATCTCTCTTTATCCCAAAGAACGCTAGAAATCTGCATTTAGAAAGAAAAAGCTAAACCGGTTAAAGCACAGCCTTAGTATTTGGACACAATAATTTACACCACTCTCAGTCCACAAAAAAAATCACTTCCTTGGGCAACCTATACAAGTTACATTACAAGATGAGAGTATTACGATAATTTCCAAGTCTTATTTATAGATACAAAAACATCTACAGTAAGTATGTTTCTCATACTTCCTTACAGCTTCTGATGAGTACATTGACAAAGCTCAACCCAATCACCAACCCTTGGCAATCCTAAATCAGAAAAGTAAAATTACAGGCTACTGTTTGTTTCTTCAAGTAGTAATGAGGCAAGACTTTTCCCTAGGAAGTATTATGACTTTAAAGTCTCCTTTTATTCAGATATGAAAAGCATGTCAGCATTCTCCTTTACAAAGCGTACAGATTTATTTGGTTTCTGTCTGTCTTTCAAATTTCAAAGAAATACAAGTAACACAAATGAAATTAGTCTTGTCTCTGTTTTTGGTCATCATATATCCTTACACAGTCTTTTCTTTTTTCTTTCTTAAACACTGAGACAGAGAGAAATTAAAGCAGATTACTATATGAATGTTTTTCAAGCTTACCACAGCACCATGTCCAGGAGACAATATACCCAGAAGAGAAGAAACTTTTCTACCAATTCCAGAAAACATGCCCTGACCCTGTGGCAGGGCATGCTGATGAATCTTGCCCGAACTATCTGGTGTCAATCGAACTAGCTGGCCTCTGGATGATGATAAAATAAAGCTTCCTCCCTAATAAAAAGAAAAAGCAACTATATTAAAAATAAATTAAAATCACACACCTGAAACAATTCTATTGTCAAATAACATTCTTTATGTCAGCTCATAAGGGTAAACACTAAAAGAGAACAAGACACAAGGCATCCACAGAATTTGAGAGATACCAAAGGAAAAAAAAAAACACATAAAAAGATTTTGGTTTTTTGTTGTTGTTGGTTTTGATTTTTTTTTTTTTTTTAAGAAATAATAAACATTAGCACTAAGACATCTAATGCTTACGTAGCACTGGCAGAGACTCATTTTCTTATCATAGCATGACATTTTTATCCATGAAACTTCATTTCAGTTTAACAACAGAACTCAAATCTCATGTAATCCTAATGATGAAAAGTTGTGTTACCTTTGCACTATGCAAAACATGCAATCCATTGTAGGTGCTTATATACCGCATTTAGGAGACAGAGACTTCTGTTAGTGCATCTTTTGCTTGTCCCAATGGATGCATCTACATTAGCACTTTAATATCAAGAGTTGGTTTCCGAAGCGACCTTCTGTGAGTCCCCACATTCTACCTGCTGGATCACACCACATCACAGAGCAGTTCAAGTGTACCAGCTGTACACCTTTTGAATTAAACTAAACGGAAAGATGGGCCCTGACCACTAACAGACATTAATTTCATGCAGCTAGGCTGGAAATAATTTAAAATAACCACCCCCTCTCTGCAAATGACCAGTGTAGATGGTGGCACTGCCTCAGCTCTAACCTTTTTACTTTACAGATTGTCAACTATCGCCTTTCACTACTTGCTAACGTAAACATAGCCTTCATGCTCCCTACCACCAAGGCACTGAAAAAAAAAAAAAAGGTGCCTTCAATTTAAAACCAAAGTTTGTACATCACAGGGAGCGAACAAAGCCTGTTAGATGTACAACAATTTAAAAAACCAGAAACCAACAACGCTAAGGGCCTGGAGGTTACTGAAAGAATGAACCGTTTACCTGTACAGGAGATGTTCAGAGAGCAAAATTTAAACAACAACAAAAGAACAAAAAAACCAAACCAGCACCATTTGCATTATCATACTATATAAAAATTTTGCTATAGATTAGATCTGCCCAGTGACAGGATGACTAATTAAGTAGAGTTGTCATATACGTAACAATGCAGCCTTAGAACATTAATTAATAAATGGGTTCTGCTATAAAAAAAAAAAAAAGTTGTTCTAGCTCCAAATTCACATGATGTGATGTTTCAACTACAGGTGTGATGAGACCTTGCTTTCCTCATCCGATATCTGAAACTTGGACAATTCAACTTTAGTAGAGTAGATATATATTAGTATTTCTTAACATCTTGGAACTCAACAAATTTGTCATTAAGATCATTGTCTTCTGATTAGGCTTACAAATGTTTATGACATGTTGATGCTCTAAAATAATATTTACAATACAGGATATGAACAGTAGATATTGAAAAGGTCATGAGACAAAATGTAATTTAATTGATAATAACTAGTTTTAAAGACAACACATATTGTAACACATGGTGAATTTTTTTTATCTATTCCATTTTGAGAGTTTTCCCCATTTAGGCACATCAACAGCAGAAAACAGAATTTCTAAGAACAATTCATAATATACTTGTTCATTGCTTTCATACAGAAATCTCTCAAATTCAGTCACTAGTGAGCTGTACCACAAGACATCGAGTGTGTGGTCTGTGAATTCAGACGAAACAGTTCTCTGTTTTTGTCATAACACGGTTTCTGCCACTGGAAGTAATCACAGTAGTATACTGACACTCCTGCTAGGCTGAGGTACTGAACCGGTCCTGTTAACTGGTATCCTGAGGTTGAATCCTGCATGCTTCTGCAACTTCAACATCATTATTTAAGACTACCAGTCATCTCTGCTACTTAAGATTATCACACTCACCAACAGTCTCTGAAATGACTCCTCAGAATGTTTGACAGTTTGCTTTGCAACATTTATTGGAGATTTAGAATGGATAATGTGGAACATGCTTTTTAATTTTTAAATTAGGAATTAAAGTAGTATTTTAACATAAATCATACTGTACCTTTACTGCTGTAAGGAAACTGCACAGAGAGCCTCCAAAATCTGTAGAAGTCTCTGTATAGGAACCTTCATGTGCAAGATTGGGCCAGTAGCGCACAGAACCTTCGCTGGTAGCAACCATTATTGCCAGAGACTTGAAGTGAGAAAACAGTTAACAGAACACGCACGATAATAAGAATGAGACTGCAGCTTTAGCTAAAACGTGTTATTTTACATATCAGGATTGTGGGTTACAAACACACACAAAAGTAGTAAATACACATGGATGCACACTGACAAACCTAGAACTGAATTGCAAAATTATTCTGTAGCATTACTTATTATCTGGAGGAAATGTTGTACTTGCTTATTTTGCTAACAATAATATTTTCTCCTGATTCTTGCTCCTGATAATTCAAGGTCTGCTACTGAAATGTAAACAAAACTTACAGCTGTAAAACAGAAAAGAGCCTGTGAAGAATTCCAGAGGCCAAAAGTTATAAGCTACTATGGAAGACTTAAAACGCAGACTATAATTTACCAAAGAAACTGCTCTAGTGTCATTAAGAGAAATATCAAATCACATGGTGGCTCTTCTCTTTATAAAGACATAAGCCCACAGTGTGTCTGTTTTAGGGATTCTGACTCAGGAAATCACTCAGATACCAAATTCAAAGCATGAGGCAAGAGACTGTGTTCAAGTAGAGACTCAGACAGAAAGCACTGTACCTAATCTACTAGCTGTTGAAAAACTCACAACAGAAGACCCATTACTCCTTGGAGTTTTCTAACCAATTTTGACTAGACACAGATCTTCACAAAGGAAAGCAGTTGGCTAATGAACATCATAACAATTAAAAAACCATCACAGAATGCATTGTCCTCTGTGATTCCTGCCCATTATTTAAAAATTTTCATTTTAGTGAAATATTTTTTACCACCAATACTTCTACTTCACTCTATAAAATCACAGTATCCATGCACAGCTCACAAGCTGAAAAAAGATGAAATAATTTAAAAAAAAAAAAATCTTAGTTTGGGTGTATTACTTCTTCTTAAACTTCTTTGGGTATGACTAAGTCATAGAGCATTTAGAGTTTTATGAGTTAATCCCAAGATATTAAGATTGCTTTTCATCATCTGGAAGTGTAACACAACAACAAGCCAAAATAAAAGATCCTACTACATCTTCTGTGGTGTTTCTTTCTTCCAAAGACAACTGCTTATCCAGTTTTACTAGAGCACTGCATATATTAACTGAAAACTACACCCAAGCTGATAATGAGAGCTTCTTTTCTTCATGAATGATAGTAACAGACGCATTAACACACTTTCAGAAAACTCAACTGATCTTCAGACCTCACCCTCTAGCACAGTATGAAAAGGCACTTAGGAAAGTAATCAGTCAAGACAGATTAAATCATCTGTCCTCCCAGTGCCAGCTTCCTTATGAAGACCAGCCAAAGGAGGGTGCTGGTGTTTGATTCTTATCCATGTGTATTCAGAAGTAAACCACTGCTGAACAACTTTTTCAGCCAGCATGCATTTAAACTGCACTTGCTTAGACTGACTATTTGATTGCCCTGATGATTGTTAACACAATACTTCTCAGTTTTCTGTATTTTTGTTTGTTATGAAAGCATGCCAAGTAATCCTTAGGAAAACTACTATTTAACCTGATCCTATAACATGTAAATGGTGTAATTTGAAAAGACTAGCAGAATTTTGTTTATTTCAACCATATTTTTGCAAGCTATTTATCCTGACCTTTGGAATAGATAGCACAACACCAAATGCAGTTTTCAAATAAGTACTTGATAAAATAGGATAATTTCAAAGTCACTTTAAATTTTTAAACACTGAAATTTAAAAGTTGATCACCTGCAGAGAAGGCGCTTCACCTGAGGAACTGACACAAGATATGGCTGCTAAACTAGAACTCCACTGGAAGTCACTGGGTGGCAGCTGCAGTTCCTTGCACAGAGATAACTGTAAGAAAGAAAGAGATGACATAAAAAATATGACACTGGAAGGACTTATTCCTCTGCCAAAAAGTCTTCAGACTTCTCAGCCCTGCTAAAAACTAATTTTCAGCCAGCCCAGACACTGTGTAAGAACCAAAACAACGTCACAAGACATTTTCAGCAAGGTTGCCACAACAAGCAAACAGCTAAAAAACACCTACTTGCACATTTTCAGACATCACTGGTTTTCTTAGTTATTTCTGACTGTTTCTCACAACACTACAATATTGAATTATTTCTTTCAAAGGTGTAATTATTTGACCATTCCTTAATACAACATACTAACAGCACAGCAAAACAAAATTAAACTATAAGGGCTTGAGAAAGCTCACTAGGTAGTAACAGAGTAGAGAAGGGAAACACTCCTCCCTCCCTCCCTCCCTTCTTCCTGCAAAGTTGAACAATCAGAAAAGTTTTAACTCCTTGAAAAATCTCTACAAGTACCAGAATGCGAATACCTGATACTCCACTGCAAGTGCAGAATCTGTACAAATAACATACATTGTACTAATGACACTGATTTTGCAACCACAGGTTAACCATACTTGCTATTCACTGAAACAATGTTGAAAGAAACACTGCCCAGAGGGAAAAAAATTACTGACAAAGAAACCTAGATGAAACATATGTTCAGCACAGGTGAAACAAACCCTTTTTTTTCTGACAAGTTGAAAATCAGTCTCAGAATAATCTAAGCCAACCTATAACATACCAACTAGTTTTTAACTGTTAAAATCAGCTTTATCAAGACTATCTAATACATGAGACACACCTATTAAGATGCAAAGAATTAACAGTGTTAAGGTGACAATTAAAAATGAAGAGAGGAAAATAAAAATGTTAAGCTCTCTCAAATGCTTGATTTTCAGTTAGTGTTGTTAGCATGACTTCATACCAAGCCCATTGCTTCTGGGGGAAACCAAACTCCAATTTATAAAGAAACTCTTGCTTTAAAAAACCACAACTGAATAACTTGTTCAACTAGCATAAAATACAGAAGTTTTTCCATCTTGATCTTTCAGTTACCTTAGCTACTGGAGACTGACCAATCTTCCAAATAATCAGCCTCTCTTTATGGACTAGCCAGGCCCATCCACTTTCATCCACTTGAACGCTCAGCTGGTCTTCAGCTACATAAAAAGTAACGTTTTTTAAGCATTCAGATTTTTAAAACACTGCAGAGTAACCTTAAAACCAATAAACTTCCATTCTCATATGAAAATAAGAAACATTTTCTGTTAAATTAAACTCCATGTTAGAATTCCCATGTGTTTGATTAAGACACCAAAGTGCTAAATATAGTTTAAAAATCCATTTGACAAACACTCAACTTTTGAGGGTGAAAAGCAAGACGATCCTAAAAGCTATTTCCATCAATTTACAGCAGATTATAATAGCTTTGTAAATTGCTCATCAATTTTTAAGAGAGACATTTTTGATTCCTCTTATATCTACTATAAAAAGAAAACTTATTCGCAGGGAAAAACTGCTTAAGAGAGACCCATTTCTTGAACTCAGGGAACAGTTTGTATCGCTGGGGCTTTTAGAACTGATAACAAATGTGGATTTAAAATAAATTAAAAAAAATAAGAGCATCCACTCTAGGACACAATAGAATCAAAACAAGTGAAGAAGGTGAGAAAGAATCAATGCAGGAAAGTTACTAAATAACTACTGTCAGCTTTCTTTATAACCTTGGATTTTATGATCTATTGGTTAAGACAGCACCTGAAGGATATTTACATGCATCCATACACACATGGGTGTTATTACAATTATAGTTACATTGTTGACCAAGTTGGATTCAGACCAAGGCACAAACATTTCAACTTCCACTGTAAAGTCAGCATTTAAATGGCATCAACAACATGTTACCACTTTTCTCACTTGTCAGTTTCCATTAGAAAAATAACAGATAAAATCAGTTCTTACCATCAGCCTTCTTCAGGGCTTCCATAACCTTAACAGGCAGAGAGGATCCAAAAGCCCTGACATCATAGTTAACAGTCTCACTTGCTGAGGGATGCTGGATAACTCTGGTAGGAGTTGCTCTTAAACAAAACAAAAAGATACAGTTAGGGTTTTATTGTTTTTTCATCAGTTTCAACAGATAGTTACTTTCATGGCATCTGTTTAGAAATAGATATGATGAAATGGGTTTATGTAAAATAAACATGCTCCCCCTGGGAGCACCGTCTAAAGCAGTAATTTGGTGGCCTCCTTACAAATTGTTAACTGCCATAAAATTCCTTTATTTTTTAGATAACTGATTTTGAATATGCATTCCTACCACAGCAACAAAATCACTGTTCAACATCTCTACATTCTGGTCATCTACTGAACAAACTCATCCACCATGCTGGGAGAAGCTCAAGGGAAGTCCTTCCCTGACTGCAGGGCCTGTTTCTATCCCCAGCTCTAATGCTGCAGGGCAGTGCGCTCTGTGCAACGCTTTGAACATCAGTGGCAGCTTGGATCAGCCAGCACCTCTATTGCCCTCATTTTACTGTGGAGACTGCAGTTCTTATCTGTTTCAGCCATTATTTGTTTGACAAATAATTTATAAAAGCTGCTTTGTATCTTCCCCTACCTTGTCTGAACTTTTCAGCACAATCATAAAAGAAACCAACTACGGGACTGACAGTGTCTTAACAGTACTATATTATTTAGGACAGTCAACCCGCAAACAGAACAACCAAGTTATTAAATACAGAACAAAAAGCAAAATAGAAAACACCATGGCAACTGTACATAGCATGCCAGCTTCTTGAGTACTAGGATTACCTAGCATGCACACATCTCAAAGGGATATTGTAGAATACTGAAAAGGAATTTAAAAATGATCAGAGATATAGAATATCTTACAATACATGCCAAAAGAAAAACAAATAGTAAAATTGCATCCATGAAAGAGCAATGCTCTAACCTACGGTGGCTTGAGCATGAACAAAATGAGGCAGGGTTTGCAAAGAGAGGAAATCTTTTGTTAGTCCTTCTTACACAGGTAGCTGAAAGCAACAGCTTTCATGCAGTCCTCTCATTAGGCCCATTGACAAGTATGCCTTAATACATTTACTGAGGCACAGGACCAACGTAATCTAATTGCTGACTTTCACAGGTGACCAAATGACAGTTCTCCCCCTCCTTTCACCCAGCGAGATCAAATGATTTTATCTAAAAGCTCCTATGCCTGCACCTGGATTTTGGTTGTGTTTGTAAGACTCATGGAAGAAATTCAGATAGCAAACACTGGGCTCCTTTTTCTTGTTTTAATTATGCCACTTTTTTTTTGCTATTTTTTTTAACCAGCAGCCTAACTTCCCATTAGCTCTCTAAACAGTTCGTGCTGCTTCATTGCACACAGCGCGAGTCTGTTCAGACCCGCTGTAAAGTTAATCCAAGCGCGTTCACAGGCTCCTTCCCCCCAACGCCAGCCGCGCGGGTATCCCCTCA